TGGATTGGAGTATAAATATCGATGGACATTCTTCTCGTGATTCGCGAACATTCTCTTCTTAATTCAGCTCCGACGGCTACACAAACGAGTCTCATCTCATCTCTTCTCTTCTCCGCTGAATTCTTAGGGTTTTTCTGAGTGGTGAATGTGGCTTCGCTGCGACATTAATCATCGTTGCATGTTATAGCACAATGTCCGGTCCACTTGATCGTTTTGCAAGACCCTGTCAGTTTCTTTTCTCTTTCTTTTTATGTGTTTTTACGTCCACAGCTGAATCGGGGTCTGAAGCTGAGGATATAGCTCGTGGTTTTGGTAAGTTGTTTTTGTTTAGAATCAAATTTAAAGAATATTTCTGAGTTGTTTTTGTTTTGGTTTTTAACTTTCAAAACAAAGAAACAAAAAAATAACTGTTCCCATAATTATTTTACAAAACAACAGTTTTAAGAACAAAAAAAAACTAAAACAAAATCAAACAGGCCATAGCTTCTCCAAAAGTGTCGAAAAGTTACTCACACCTTATGTTCGTGAGGAAGTAAGTGTCGATCTGTTAACTCAAATTGTTTTCATTGAACAGCAGTTCTCTTGTGCAACTCTCCTCCCCTTTCTGAATTTAATGGCAGCAAAATCTTCTTCCGTCATTCTTACACCTATTATTCTGTGAGTTTAGTGTGTATTTATTTATTTAAATGTACAGTACGTATTCACAATGTTTGAAGATATCGTGAGGATTATCAAAATATAATGCTTAGTTATTCTCATTGTGTTCTTTGTCAGTCTAAGGTAGTTGGAAAGTCAAGCTATGCTAGTAGTGGTAACTTACCTGGTTATGACGAATATGTTCCAATGGTGGACAAAGCTTTTGATGCTACCTGGAAGAATCAAGCATCACTCCAGAGGTCTCATTCTTCAAAAGGTTAACAACTGTAGCTTAACATTTATAGTCGATATAAATTTTATATGAATCTTCTCATGGTGATTATTGACCAAAAGTCAATAAGACTCGTCAAAAAGTAATCCTAAACGTCAGAATTGTGAGTGCTTTGTGTTCTAAATCTCCATAGAAACCCATTTCATTTTCAGCATAGTGACACTAATTGTCCCCTAACCTTTGTAAGAAATTTGATGGCTGGGAATGTATTGATGTCACGAGCTTCAGTCTATAATGTGTCATAAATAAAAGATAATGTTCAATTAAATCATGAATTATGAACTAATCAATGTTGGATTGAAATGAACTGATATTTTGGTAGGCTTTATTGAAGAGATGAACTTGTTTTCTTTTAATGCTCATCCTCTTCTTGTCAGTATGTTGTGCACCATTCACCTATTGCCTTAAATTGCACAATCCACTCCTTTTGCTTTTATAACCTAATATTTTCAGTTTTTAAATTTGAAAATTTTCTCCAATTTTAAAAACAAGTTAGAGTATTTCAACATGTGAAAATGGTGTAATTACATCTGTTGCACTGAATAATTTCTTGTTTCGAGACACAGAATTTCAGGTCCTGCACTTAAGAATTTTAGAGTCTTTTAAGCACAACTTTTTTTTAAGGTAAAAGCTACTTTTGTGTTAAAATTAAAAAAAGCTTAAAAAATAAAGCTGAAAGCTGTTTGATAATTGTATAAAGTTATTTTTAAGATTTTGAAGAGAGTGAGATGAAATAATTTGTTATTAGGATAAATGATAAAATTAATAAATACAGGTTTAAAATAAGGGTAAAATTAAAAAATAAATATGAGAATTCCAAAATGCTGACATACATCTTAAAAAAAGCTCCTTAGCTTTTAACTTTTTATTTTTTTCTTCATCATAAAAAAAGATTTTTTTTATGAAAAGAGCTTTTGTAATATTATGTTTGACTAAACTTTTGTTTATCCGGATAAGAGAAGCTAAAAATAAGAGTTTCGAATCAGGCACTAAGCTCTTGGAAGAGTTGATCCTTGGGCACTTCACATGGTATTTGTTCTTTGTCAGTGCTTTATGAGCAAAAGGCTTTTGTTTGAGGGGTTTTTTGGGATGTAAGTAAATCCAGAAGTCCCGAGCTTGCACCTAAAAGCTTAAGCATTTGGGAGAGCTGGTGGTTTGCTGGGTTTCTTAATTTGAATTATGTGATGTAATTTGCTATGGAAATATTAAATTTAATTTTCAATTACAGGAACACCCCTTCCTGACCCTCCAAAAACTCCTGAAGGGATTCGAGCTCGGATTTGGGTATTCCTTACTGTCTTCTGTTTGACCCTGTTTACTCTCTTCCGATCAGTCACATGCCGTGTGACCAAGAAACTTCCTGCAGTATCATCTGATGATAATCTTCCACCTTCAATGACTCAAGCTAATACAGAGGCAATTCTCCTTTCCTCCATGAAGAAAAGGTTAGGTGAGCTTGAAGAGATGGTTGACACGCTCCAATCTAAGTCATCTGAGATGCCTTATGAGAAAGCAGAATTGCTAAACGCTGCTGTCTGCCGGGTGGAAGCGTTGGAAGCAGAGTTAATTGCAACTAAAATGGTAGGATGCTATAATTTTGTTTTCCTTTTTATATGTGCATATGTGAATGTACAGACATTTATTAAGAAATTTATATGTGCATATCTATTACATTTATTTCTTCTTTTTCTTATTTGTTTATCATCTTTATTTAAAACTAAAAATATGCCTTGTTTCCATTAGCTGGCGGCTATGTGAATGTACAGACACACACATGCGATGTTTTTCTTCATGTCTGATTATCTTACATTTAGTGTTAAAAAAATCTTTCAATCTGCATGGAACTGAGGCACGATAATTGTTAAATGTTTTTCTACTAATGTTAATTATGTTACAGAAGTTTTAATTGTTTTAGATTATCATTTCTTTACAGTTTTCACTTCATGGTGAATTATCCAAATTGCGCATTGCAGTTGTGCTTTTGTGCTTTTGTTCTCTTTATGCATGCATATCTTTTTCCCCATGTTTATTTTTGGGTGTATTTTCTAAATGTCATATTATGGCTGTGGAGATCTGATGAATGCATAGTTTTTCATTTTTTCCTCACCTGAGTAATCCTTACATTTGCATTTTCTGGATTGTGCAATAGGCTCTCTTTGAAGCTTTGATGAGGCAAGAAGAGTTGCTTGCTTACATTGATAGAAAAGAAGAAGCTAAGTTACGGGTAAGTTATCACATGTATCTTTTGAACACAACCTTAGAGGGACATTTTTCAGGTTTCTGATATTTCTCTTTCTTTCATTTTGCTGCTTGTTAATCAGAAGAAGAAGCTTTTCTGGTGAGTTTTGTTGCTGTTAGAAAGAGAGACGCTAGAGGTGGGTGTTTTTAATCATGGTGTTTCTAAGGAGTGTTGACCTTGTCATGATGTAAACTCTGAACACTGGCTTAGTTTACACTAACTTATTTTGTAGTTTCCCAAGTAATTCCCTGGGCGTTTTTAGTAGTTGTAATTGCGATTTTTATGGAAAAAAACAGAAATTTGTTTAATTCCACTTAATCAAGATTAATAAAAATTTAAATTTTAAATTGCAAAAATAAGGATCAAATGTTCTAATCAAATTTATTATTTTTATACATTCAGACCGTAGATTGGGTTCTTTCGAGTATTTAGAAAATATTTTTATTTTTCAAAAGTTGTAAATTTTTGAATTACACTAAATTTTTAAAATAAGTACGAAATTTGTAGGTTGGGATTTTGTTGATTAGTACGAAATATTTTTTTTTGGAAAACAAAAGTAAATTTTTGAATACCACTCAAAATGTTTGTTGAAAATGTAGAGAAGGAAAAGGGTTTACGGAATATCAAAAAGGGTGTTAGTAAAAAATCAAATTTTAAATTTTAAAAAATCAGAACCGAAAGTTTGAATTCCATTTATTTTCTTTTTTTTAGATTTGAATTTAAATTGTAGGGTTGGATTTTTTAGTATTTAAAATTGCGTTTTTTATGGAAAAAACAGAAATTTGTTGAATTTCACTTAGTCAAGGTTAATAAAAATTTGAATTTTAAACTGTAAAAATAAGGAACAAATATTTTAATCAAATTTAATATTTTTATACATTTAAACCGTAGGTTGGGTTATTTCGAGTAATTAGAAAATATTTTTAATTTTTTAGAAATTGTAAACTTTTAAATTACAGTGAATCAAGATTAAAAAAAATCCAAACTTTAAATTTTAAAAATAAGTACCAAATTTGTAGGTTGGGATTTTGTTGATTAGTGCGAAATTTGTTATTTTTTTTGGAAAACAAAAGAATTTTTTTAAATACCTCAGTGATGTTTGTTGAAAATGTAGAGAAGGAAAAATGGTTTAGGGAATATCAAAAAGGATGTTAGTAAAAAAATCAAATTTTAAATTTTAAAAAATCAGAACCGAAAGTTTAAATTCCATTTATTTTCATTTTTTAGATTTGAATTTAAATTGAAGGGTTTGATGTTTTTAGTATTTAAAATTGTGTTTTTTATGAAAAAAAAAAACAGAAATTTGTTGAATTCCACTTGATCAAGGTTAATAAAAATTCAAATTTTAAACTGCAAAAATTAGGAACAAATATTTTATCAAATTTATTATTTTTATACATTCAAACCGTAGGTTGGGTTATTTCGAGTAATTAGAAAATATTTTTAATTTTTTAAAAATTGTAAATTTTTGAATTACTGTGAGTCAAGGTTAAAAAAAATCCAAACTTTAAATTTTAAAAATAAGTACGAAATTTGTAGGTTGAGATTTTGTTAATTAGTACGAAATTTGTTTTTTTTTTTAAAAAACAAAAGAATTTTTTTGAATTCCACTGAATCAGGTTAATAAAAATCCAGATTTCAATGCCATGTATAAATAATTTAGGACTTAATTGCAAATTCAACATCACATAATATTTAATAAATTTCAGTTAAAAAAAAGATGTCAACATTTATAAATGTAACTCCAACAAAAAACGGCAATTCAACATTCTGTTGTAATAAACATCATGTCCGAAGACGCAAAACAACACTCTTCAGTCACAGTAGCCCAATCTACGGGGTATTCTCATCTGCTTCTGCATCAAATCTATTTTTAAAAAAAAGAAAGAAAAAAAATTCAAATATAAGTGTTTTGACTATGCGTAAGCAAATGACATGGTTTGCATATTATATTAATAAAAGAAGAAATATATATATACCACTGAAATAAAAATATAAATTATAAAATACATAACTCTTTTTCAAGCTTTATTCTCTTCGCCGTCCGAACAGCTGAAAATTTAAATTCTCCAGCAATGGAATCCTGAGAATTGATCACAGGTGACAACATCGTCAGAGAGATATCACCAACGTCAGCACTATCACAGGTCTGACTCTCAACATCCTATTTTTTTTTCATACAAAAAAAAGGTACGTCAAGTATTTATGTTATTTTTTGTTTTCGTGACATGAATCTAAATCCAAATAATGGGTTACCGCAGCCTTTTTTGGTTCCGACGATACAACTTCATTTTCGCAAGCATTATCAAAATTTGCTTCATCCTGTGATATACAACAACCAACAACAGTCAACAAAATGAATAAGAAAAATGGATATCCAACAGAAATATATAAGAAGCATGCATTTGGATCTATAAGAGATTTAATGAACGCTGAGATTATGTCTTCCCTCATACAAATTTTAGAAACTTGATATTTGGGCTCACTGTATGAGTTCAAATCCTTTTGCTTCACATTTATCTTGAACAACATTGACTTCTCATTCAGAACATTTAACTCTTCTGGAAATTGATCCAAATCCGCACACTAAAAAAAAAGGAAAAGGAAAAAAAATTAAATTGAAAAATAAAAATAAATAAACATAGCGCAAACAGAGTGCACACAACGACAAAAATACATGTTCACTATTACACAGCAATGATAATACAAACCCTCTTGAAATGCAGCTCGCGCAATTCACCAGCACTCATTCCCAATAAAGACACACAGTCGCGATCAAACAGAAGAAATGCCGCGGAATCTGTGTTATCCACAACTCTGACCTGAACACTAAATCTGGAGTTTTTTCGAAATTGTATATCAGCAACAAATATTAACGACACAGATTAAAGACGGATTATAAACGAAGAACAATATATTACCTCGGATAATAATCTTCCCAATGTTTTTGGCAGTTCTTACAGTACCACTTTTCAAAATCCTCACAAACGGAAAATGGACATTTTTTGCAAGACTTGTACCACCAGTTGTATTTGCTCTCAATAGCTTTTATAGTCCCGTACGTGATGCACGTTGTAACCTTAAATATAAACCAACAAAGCTTAAAAAATCGATACAGACTTGACATAATTCAAGATAAGCAAAAAATAAAAAATCGATATTTACTTCACCATAAAGCTTAACATCACTGATAGACTTCTTTTCAGTCTCCCTAAGAATAGGAGGACTGAGTAGACAACTGAGTCATCCTCAAACTGCTTTCTACATCATCAGCCGAAAGACTATAAAGCAAAAATTCATAATTCCATCAATGAATAACCGAATAAATTGTTACATGAGTTCAAGAAAAATGAACACACCATTTTTTGAACTTAACGATCTCTGGCACCTTCGAATCCGTGACAATCCTTGTTGTATATTTTGTATTTGTTATCCCAACCTTACCTATCGAGTTGAAAATATCAGATAAAAACCGAATACAGAAGCCAAAAAAATTTAAAATAACATAAACAAAAACAGAATACAGAAGCCAAAAATATTTAAAATAATGTGAACAAATACCGATTACAGAAGCCAAAAAAATTTAAAATAACATTTCGTTTGGAAAAAACATACCCCTAAAACATTTTTTCCTTCCCAGTTGGACTATCAGGACGTTATGAGGAGTGTCGCTATTTGCCAAAAAAGACTGCACCTCATCCATATAATGCTCCCACAAAGTGCTCTCCAGCTTGTGACCCCTACACATGAGTTGCAACAAGCACAACGTTAATACACGAAAAATATAAGCTAACAGAACTTGACAAAATTAATGTATTTAACTAAAAAAATTTAAATACCTCAGGTTGTCAAGCTCCAACACTACCATTTTTGTCTTCCTACCAGAAACCACACGATCACAAGCTTCTCTAATTCCTGAGCTTAAACCAATGACGTCTACAAAAAGAGAGGGCAGCAAACAGTTGGTGAAAAAAATTGCAATAATTAGAAATTGGATAACAGTAAGGAAAAATACATTACTGACTAAATAAGGAGAGTCAGACGTTTCTTTCTCAACGATGTCATAATCAACAAAATCAAATTCACTTGCAGAAATATCAGAATCAACAATTGATTTAACATCAGTCCTCAAGTTGAAAGAAAAACGATATTGATGCTTGGTTGGCCTGAACACATCGCTATTAAATCCAACTCCAATTTTTTTTTATAAAATAGCACTCTCCTTCATGGATTTTCTTTCGCACCGGCAAAGAATCCTTGACAGTGGCATGGATCCTACCACCCTACAAAAGAACGCAGCCAACTCACATCAATAACGTTAATTAAAATGGAACTTGCATAGAGATGGAAGATTTAAAATATGCAAAGATGGAAGATTTTAAAAACCCAGACAACTACATGTTCATCCAATAAAACCATTTCAACATTGTCGTCAAAATCTCTACGTTGAAAATTAGGAACTTTCCAAGCACGAACCAACTTCACCTTAATCCTCCAGTCTTCTTTGACAGGATTGACATCCTTCAGAAAATCATATTTTGAAAACATGTTTTTTGTAAGACGAAAAAAGAGATAAGCAAGAACCGATGCTGAGGAAGCAATGCGTGTATCAGCACAAACGTAATGAAGTGTTGGTATAAAATACAAAGCAGATGTATTTTTTTAATTATTTAACATTAAATGAGTTGCTTGTCACCATTAAATAAGTTTCCTGTCACCATTAAGAATTCAAAAATCAAATTTAAAATTTCAAGTTAAAATTCAAATTCAAATTTGGAAATTAAAAGAGCAATCAGATATACATTAATGAGTTGTCTGCCACCAACATTTAAAACAAATCTTGACCATTGATTTAAATCAACAAATCTTGTCCATCGAATTCATCTTGAAAAATTGATTTTGTTTTATATTTATTTTATTCATTGATTTACCAAAGAAGGAAAAGTTAATGTGAACACAAAGTAGTAAGTGAAGGAGAAAGCGACACGTCAGCAAACTTGCCAAAGTTTGAATTCCATTTATTTTCTTTTTTTTTTAGATTTAAATTTAAATTGCAGGTTTGGATGTTTTTAGTAGTTATAATTGCGATTTTTATGGAAAAAAACAAAAATTTGTTGAATTCCACTTAATCAAGGTTAATAAAAATTAAAATTTTAAACTGCAAAAATAAGGATCAAATATTCTACTCAAATTTATTATTTTTTTACATTCAAACCGTAGATTGGGTTCTTTCGAGTATTTAGAAAATATTTTTATTTTTCAAAAGTTGTAAATTTTAGAATTACACTGAATCAAGGTTAAAAAAATCCAAACTTTAATCTTTAAAAATAAGTACGAAATTTGTAGGTTGGGATTTTGTTGATTAGTACGAAATACTTTTTTTGGAAAACAAAAGTAAATTTTTGAATACCACTGAAAATGTTTGTTGAAAATGTAGAGAAGGAAAAGGGTTTAGTAAAAAATCAAATTAAATTTTAAAAAATCAGAACCGAAAGTTTGAATTTCATTTATTTTCTTTTTGTTAGATTTGAATTTAAATTGTAGGGTTGGATGTTTTTAGTATTTAAAATTGCGTTTTTTATGGAAAAAAACAGAAATTTGTTGAATTCCACTTAATCAAGGTTAATAAAAATTCAAATTTTAAACTGCAAAAATAATGAACAAATATTTTAATCAAATTTATTATTTTTATACATTCAAACCGTAGGTTAGGTTATTTCGAGTAATTAGAAAATATTTTTAATTTTTAAAAAATTGTAAATTTTTGAATTACAGTGAATCAAGGTTAAAAAAAATCCAAACTTTTAAATTTTAAAAATAAGTACGAAATTTGTAGGTTGGGATTTTGTTGATTAGTACGAAATTTGTTATTTTTTTTGGAAAACAAAAGAGATTTTTTGAATACCACTGAATCAGGTTAATAAAAATCCAGTTTCGATGCCATAGATTTAAATGAGTTGCCTGTCACCATTCAGAATTCAAAAATCAAATTTAAAATTTCAAGTTAAAATTCAAATTCAAATTCAAATTCAAGTTTGGAAATTAAAAGAGCAGTCAGATATACATTAATGAGTTGTCTGCCACCAACATTTACAACAAATCTCGATCATTGATTTAAATCAAAAAATCTTGTCCATCGAATTAATCTTGAAAAATTGATTTTGTTTTATATTTTTTTATTTTATTCACTGATTTACCAAAAAGGGAAAGGTTTTTAAAATTCTGTAGTGTGAACACAAAGCTGAAAGTGAAGGAGAAAGCGACACGTCAGCAAACTTGCCAAAGAATGGAATTCCTTTAGAATAATAGATTAGAATAATAGATATTGTGGAATTAAAGAAAGTAAAATATTAGAATATTATAGTTATGTAAAGTCTTATTTAACTAAAAAAAATTAAAACATTAAATTTTTAACCTATAATAAAAAGTTTACTAAATAAATTTTTTATTATAAGTATTACTTAATAATAAATATCATTATTTTAACATATAATACGATGTTTAATTTTTTTTATATAGACTCACTATTTAAGGATTTATGGAAAAATAATTAAAATTTTGTTTATATTTCACTTGTATTTGTGTGCAAATATTATTTCTTTAAAAGATTAAATTATGAAGAAATAATATTTTCTATGGAATATTTTACGAAAGTGTATTGTGATGCGTCTCTAAAGGGCCTTGCTTGTGTGTTGATGCAAGATCATATGGTCGTAGCTTATGCCTCACGACAATTGAAGCCCCACGAGGAAAATTATCCTACTCATGATCTGGAGTTGGCAGCTATAGTGTTCGCACTAAAGATCTGGAGACATTATCTGTATGGTTCACAATTCGATGTTTTCAGCGATCACAAGAGTCTGAAGTATTTGTTTGATCAGAAGGAACTAAACATGAGGCAACGACGGTGGATGGAATTCTTGAAGGATTATGAATTTGAACTCAAGTATCATCCATGCAAGGAAAATGTAGTAGCTAATGCTTTGAGCCATAAGACTCTCTATACTGCAACCCTGATGATAGAAGAACTAAAACTACTTGAAGCTTTTCGGGATCTGAACTTGTCTATTATCATAAGAAGGCATGGAATAAGGTTGGGCAGAATCAAAGTAGAGAATGAGTTACTCCGTAGAATAAAGAGGGCTCAAAGAGATGAGGGACTAGTTCATAAATTGGCTGGTTACCAAGATGTCAGTTGGGATGAAAGTAAATTGTTGAGGTTTCAAGGTCGGTTAGTAGTGCCGAATGACGAACTTAAACAAGAAGTTTTGCAAGAAGCTCATAAGAGTAACTATACCGTTCATCCTGGATCCACTAAAATGTATCATGATTTAAAGACTTTATTTTGGTGGCCGAGTATGAAACGTGACATTGCAGAATATGTAGCTCGATGCTTAACATGTCAGAAAGTGAAGTATGAACATCAGAAATTTTCAGGACTTCTTCAACCTTTGGAAATTCCCGAATGGAAACGACATAGTATTGCCATGGACTTTGTAGTTGGACTTCCTCGGACGCGAGAAGGATTTGACGCCATATGGGTAATTGTTGATCGGTTGACAAAATCAGCCCATTTCTTGAGTGTCCAAACAATGTATAATACAGAAAAGCTTGCCCAGATTTATCTTCGAGAGATTGTGAAGTTGCATGGAGTTCCCACCAGTATTGTCAGCGACTGTGATCCCAAGTTCACCTCTAAGTTTTGGGAGTCTTTTCAACGGGCTCTCGGAACCCACTTGAGGTTGAGTACTGCTTATCATCCGCAAACCGATGGTCAAACCGAACGCATTATTCAGGTTCTGGAGGATATGTTGCGAGCTTGTATTTTAGAACAAGGAGGCAGTTGGGACAAGTATCTTCCTTTGGTGGAGTTTACCTACAATAATAGTTTTCATTCCAGCATCAGAATGGCATCGTATGAAGCTTTGTACGGGAGGAAATGCAGATCTCCTTTATGTTGGGTAGAAGTTGGTGAGCGGAGTATTTTGGGGCTCGACATGATTCAAGAAACTTCAGAGCAGGTACAGAAGATCAAGGAAAATATGCAAAGGGCCCAGGCGAGGCAGAAAAGTTACTATGACAATCGTCATAAACCCCTATCTTTTAAAGAGGGAGACCACATGTTTCTGAGAATCACACCCACATCTGGACTCAGTAGGAGAATGGGAACGAAGAAGTTGAGTCCGCGGTACTTGGGACCATACCTTATCTTGGACAGGATTGGAGAATCAGCTTATCGAGTGGCGTTACCGCCTAATTTGTTGGGAATTCATAACGTCTTCCATGTGTCTCAGTTGAGAAGATATATATCTGATCCGTCCCATATACTACAGCTAGAAGAAGTAGAATTAGAGAAAAATCTGACGTACCCTGTTCAACCATTCCAAATTCTCGAGAGGTCAGTCAAGCAACTTCGTTCCAAGGAGATACCGTTGGTGAAAGTACTATGGAACAATAAATCTGCGTATGAAGCCACTTGGGAGCGTGAAGATGACATTGGGAATTGGTACCCGGAACTCTTTAATTAAGTACGTAAGTCTAATTTTGCGGACAAAATTCTATTTTGGTGGGGAGAGTGTAACATCCCGCATAAATTAGGAAATTTATTTTACATGCAATTAGGAATGAGTATATATTTTCTGAATTCGAAACACTAGTTAAAAGGATAGGATTAATTTTAATTACAACATACAAAAAAATCTTAGTACTACTTAGGGGATTACATGAAATAATGTTCATTAGGAAATGAAATTTTGGACCCAATGACCCTTAATGGGCGCCTGCCCAGGCCTCTGAATGGAGGACTTTAATCAGCCCAACACCATTCCTACCCTTGATCCATGACTAACTCTTACACTTATCCTAAGAAATCTACATGACTACTTCTCATTGGACAAGAAGTAAACCATTTTATCCCCCGTTATCTTTCCCTCCCTATGCGCATTGTAAGTAAACCATTCAGAACCATCCTCTTGATTCAAAACCAAACTCAGCCATCCTCTCCCTCCAGGCCGCGAGTCTCCTTAGAGAAGAACTCATCACTTAAGCCCATAATTCCTTCTCTTCTCCTTTACTCCCTCGGCCGAACATCAAGCAACAAAGCTTGCATGTCCTTTACCTTCCCACCTCTTTCACTAAGCCGTATGTCCTAAGAGAAAGTCCCCAAACACTAAAAGCTCACATCTATTCTTCTCCTTCTTACTCGCCGAAGATAAAAATCAAGGAGGTGAGGTATTTTCATTACCTTCTTGTCCCTCACTACATGATTCGGTCCTGATTGAGTTCTTCCCCCTTTGCATGCAGCTTGAGCTCGGTTTCTTGGAACGTTGAAGGGAAAGGTTGCTGCTCTTTAACCGATTCGCTAATCTTCGAGTGCATGCAAGAAGGTACCAAATGAAAACCAAGTTCCTTTTTTTTTCCACACTGTTTCGGTCTCACATGCATGTAAGGAGGATGTATTTTTTGTTGTCATTCCTCTTCTCTTGTTTCTGCTCATTCGAACAGCCCATGGGTTTAGTGCATGCACGCACAAAAATCAGATTTGTGAG